CTGGTCTTCTAGATAAAAAATATTCTTCTTTTCAGGTCATTATACACTAATGAAACCATATCTATGAATATTATATTCTGTATTCTATTTCAAGTAAACAGTGACTATAAGTGTGAATAGCTGGCCACCTAAAAATATGTCAACCTCATTAAAGGCTGGCAAATAGTCTGGGGAGTACCCTGCTTCTTACCCAATGAATGCTGGGATAGGCTGCGCTGGATAAGCATGTATAGATTACAGGTGGATGGGTTTTTGGCCTCAACTGCATTTTATTTCTGCTTTAATTTTGTTAGATAAAATTGAATGGGTGATAAGTTAGCTCATGTTTAGGCCATGGCTTGATGTAATGACAAAGAAGAAGATACCCTCCTGCAGCCAATAAATATGCATAAAATAAAAACAATGGTTTTAGTAATTTCTTTAACTCTAGAATTCTGACATGGCCTGCATATTTAGTCTTGAAAACGGTAATGTTTTGTTTCCCAGCCCTCGAAGACATCATTAAACATCATTTGTAAGCATACATTACACTATACGCAGCAAATCGCCCATCTGGTGATTTTGGAGCTCACTGTCTGGGAAACAATAAATCTATTGTATGGCTCCATGTAAAGAATCCCACTAAAGTAACGCCTCCGTGTAGACATACGCTGAGTATATTAAACATAGGCGTGCACAGACTGTATGTAGTGTTAATAATGCAGTGTTTACACCTTGGCATTGAGCAGGGAGTACTGGCCCAGGGCTGCAAACTGGCAGGGCTGTGCAGTAATTAGGGGCTGTGTGTTGGGGATGTGAAGGCTTGCGGCGTGTCATGCTGATACCACTGCCGGGCAGACCAAGTGTGTCGACAGCAGGCCACACCTTTCTGTCGCAGTAGGAAGTCGCACCTTTCGCTTCAACAAGGGCTCCTGCAGCCTGTGAGCTAGGTTGTTACTCAGCGGTCCAAGCGGGGACACCAAGGGCATTAACGCCATGGCAGCTGTCATTAGCTGTTTTCACCACATGAGCAACGTGTGTGTTCAAGTGCAAATTCATATTAACACTTTGTATTAGTTTGCATTTTGGCGTCATGGTGCTGTAGAAATATTAGGACCAATTGGGGGCCAAATAGGAAAAGGTGCAAATTTTACACAAATTTGTGTAGAAAGGCACACACTAACACTTTATTACCAAACTTTTATATCAAAATAACTAATAAATAGCTCTACAT